TCGCGATATCCTTATTATTTATACTTTTACCTATCGGAAGAGTTGATAGGACTTGTTGCAAAAGCTGTGGTGTACCTTTCTTTATTGAGTTATATAACGTTAATCCTATTACACTACAGTGTACCTCGTTAGGAATTGATCTCGAGGATATGTTAGGCCCTACTTATTGAAGCAAGATAAGAATCACCTAGCTTGATCGCATTTTTGATTCAAAAAATGTTTGTATGCTTTTAGAACCATATGTAAAGTGATGGAGAACATAAAAAATCAGGCGGAAGATGTTCGTGTATAGTATATATATATAATAAGTAATTTTTCGAGGAGCTTGAAACTTGGAAAACCCCCTTATAAAGGGAGGGCCATCCGTTGGTTTCTTTTTTAAATTGGTATCAAAACTACAATAATATGTAATACTCGATAATTTATTCAAAAGAATATACCTTCCGAACAATTTCAGTAAAATGGTTGCCGCGGCCGCCTTGGTAGTAGTCCATCCTCTTAACCCAATTTTGAAGCTCATTTTCGATAGATTGTGGGTCTGTTTCCTCAAAAACTCGACGGATACTTTCCTTCAGAAAATCAATTGTCTGAGGATTGTTAATGTAACAGTAATTGTTGTACCAGTTAGTAGGAGAGTTGAGAGACAGATCGGTTCGACATCGCGTTGCCAGACGTACACTATATATAGTTTTTATACGATAGTTTCAGGTACTGTACCTCGATCATTCGTGGGATGATAAAAATGAATATATACTAAGTGACATATAAATCCAAACACCCAGTTTAAATGGTTTTATTTTAATAAAAGTTGGTGAATGTATTTATCTTACTGTAGATAACAAGTGAAAAAATTTTCAGCCTTATCAGTTGGACATTCCGGTTTTTATACTGCTTTTTTTTAATTCACTAACGCTCTAAAAATGAATATTTCAGCCGCAGTAAAGAATCAACGTTGACGGATATTGGTTCTTGACATCCTTTACGATCGGTTACGATGCCTAGAGTACGGAGACCTGAACGATTTCGTCAACTTAGTGAGTTTGATAGGTGCCGTATAGTGGGACTTCGGGAAGCTGGACTTTCTTTTCGGGCAATTGCAGTTAGAGTGCAAAGAAGTGTAGACACTGTGGTTAGGTGTTGTCAGGCATGGCTTCGAGAAGGCCGTACGCAAAGAGCAAGGGGCACTGGACGCCGCCGTAGAACAACAGACCGTGAAGATCGCCGCCTAAGATTATTGGCCTTAAGGGACCGTTTCTCCACTACCAGGTGCATTGCAAATGAATGGTTTGTAGAACACGGAAGACCTATTGGCATGCGAAGTGTTTACCGACGAATGAGAAGTTTTGGCTTGTTTTCATACCGGCCACACTGGGTCCTCCCTTTAACTCGTGAACACCGACGTAATCGCCTTGAGTGGTGCAGACAACGGTCAATCTAGGATCAGGAATGGAACAGTATTGTCTTTAGTGACGAGCATCGTTTTTGTTTAGGCATGCACGATGGTCGTGCCAGGGTTAAAAGGCGACGTGGTGAAAGGAGGAATCCACAGTTTTTTGTTGAAAGACATGTTCATCACACTGTTGGAGTTGTGGTTTGGGTTTCTATAGCTTATGGTTCCAGGTCACCTTTAATCTTCATCAGAGGTAACATGAACGCGCAGCGTTATATCCACAAAGTTCTAGAACCCCATCTTTTACCCTATCTTGACACCCTGGCAGATCCAACTTTCCAACAAGATAATGCCCGACCACATGTTGCAAGAGTCACAATAGACTTCTTTCAACATAATGATGTCACATTGTTACCATGGCCACCAAGATCTCCCGATTTATCCCCAATTGAGCACGTGTGGGATATGATGGGTAGGAGATTGCTCAATTTGCAACGTCCTCCTCAGACTCTAGAAGCACTTCGAGAGGAGTTGGGGGTAGCCTGGAATGAGATACCCCAGGAGGACATTGACCACCTGATCAGAAGCATGCCTAGGCGCGTTGGAGAATGCGTAGCACATCAGGGTGCATCCACAGATTATTAAAGGTCAAAGGTCTTTAAATCATTTTGAAATTTTTATCATTTACTTATTATGCTTCATTAAGTACTTATACAAAATTTTATTAAAATAAAACCATTTAAACTGGGTGTTCGGATTTGTATATCACTTAGTATATCTTAAAATGTGCTGTGCTAATGGAAAATTGGGAGTGATTGATAAGAACAATTTATGCTTCCCATAATGGGTTCTACGTCTTGTCTCAATCAGGATTTTGGAATATAATGCTCAACGTGTTCAATGATGCACTTTACTCAAAAAGACGACTTTCGTCATTTATTAGATGCCTTCATCAGATCTACGAGATGCGAAAAATGAACGTTGACAGAATACAAAAAGGTCAAACAAAGAATGGTTGTATGTACAAATACGAAAACATTGTGATGAAAAAGCACTGATTTTAATGAAATTAGTCACTAAGACTTGGTCTAAAATGAGAAACAAGGTAAGAACGGGTTTAAAAGCAATAAATATGTAAACAAAAAATAAAAGCAAAAATGTTGGTGAGCAACATCACCAAATGATTGTTGCAGCAAGCAGGTCACAGGCGATATCTACCTTATGAGTAAGGTCCATCATAAACACCGAGTACTGTATCCCAAAATCCGTAGACATAACTTTTGTTATATTGGAGTTCTTCATAACCTTCCGCAATTTCGTTAAAAATTGCCTTTGAAGTGGCAATGTGTCTTAGCTGATTCATAAGCACATATCCATTCAAAAACCTCTAAGGTAGAAAGCTAATCGCCGTTAAATCCGTTGATTGTGGACGCTTATTTAAAAAAATTATGTGGTCTTGAAAAATTTCCTTACAACAGCGACTGTCTCTTCCTTTGAAGTATGTGTTTTAGAATCAACCCGTCGACACCTCAAGTTTGGATAGCCTGCCAGTTTTCGTTAAAAATGAGACGACAATATCTAAATTTAAGTTCTAGTAAAGGAAACTAGATTTTCTTGTTAACATTCGTAAACGTTCCAGCAGTCTGAGCTGTGCTACGTCTTCCAGCGCAACGAAGGTTCAATATTGTGCTATCTTGCTGAAGATTTGGAATAATATGACCCATTTTAGGTTTGGCCATTTCCAAACTTTAAATTACCCCCTGGCGTAACGTTACATATCAAATTCCCAAAATCTTCTCGAGTAATACCTGAAAAATTGAAAGTAAACTTTGAATAATAATAAATAGTATAAACAGTAACTAAAACTCCACATACATGTCTAGATTCCAATTCATTGTAGGACTTTTCGACCACCCCTATGATCTTTTTCAAGTACAATGGGCATTTGTGACGATGTATTTTGTTTTCTGTCTTCTAGGTGGCATTCCTTTTTTTTCGTTTTTTCACAATCCGTTTCGACAATAGTCTGATCGGTTCTGTTACATATTGAGATTGCTCGAAGACATCATTGAAAACCAGCAAGGCACAGGACTATCTGGGGTCGACCTTCCCTGTCCCAAATCCCCGAAGAGAAAAACGAGCATTACGTTATTTCTCGTCTTTTGATGTACCATGTCTGGTCACTCTTGTCCATCGTTCCGAAAGCGTCAAAAGTCCTTTGAAAACCCCAATACCCACCCGGAACTGATATCGTAGCATACCGGTTAATTGTTACGCAATATTTGACGACAATTACTGCATGTCCATTGTTAATGGATCAGAAATGCTAGAAATAATAATGAATGTATGTATTTGTATCTTCGAATTGAGACGATATTTAGCCACATGGCTATATTGCTACTCAACCTCAAAACGAAGTAGTACATATTCGACATATTCAAGGATCATCTTGTTTGTTTCGTGAGAAAATAATATGAAATGAAAATAATAATATGAGATGGCGAAGTAGAATATGTACGCAATTGATATCCAATAATACATCATGAGGTCCGTAAATAATAGTTTAAAAGAGCTTAAAAAACATCATCAACATATCTGCTTTTTACAGAATTATACTTATAAGGATAACGGAGAACTGTTATCAAATTATGGCATTGTCATGGTTCCTTGATACGTGTGCGAGGTTTCAAATTAATCAATCTTCTGGAAATTGGTGCAAATTATGCGCAAGGATTCCCTTACATACATACCTACATACAGGCCAAGCTGATAAAAACGTGTTAATAAAAAAAGCACATGCAACACTTGTATTATAAAGTTGAGTATAATAAAACATTATTGACACAAAAATTACTTCTCCAAATATCCAGATAGCAGCTACGCTATCAAGCTTTGATGTTCTTTAGATAAAATGCCCTTAGCTCAAAAATCAATCACTAAGACATATAAGTATGTCACATCAATCTTCTGCTTTCAAGAGGTTCTATCCAAAAATGCAATAAAAATTCAAGTACTGCATTTGACAAAAATTAACTTTGATGCGTGTGTCAAAATTGGGACAACCTGTATATTTGTAAATATTTCAGAAATATGCCTCCAGATGCCATACACAGTGATCCATAAATAGTTTTCCTTAGATAGTTTTTGCATAGGAGCAATAACTCGTCCTCGAACGATTGGCCACCCTGTATGTGGTTTTTGATTCAGTCAATGGAGCCCTATGAACACAGGATAAGTTTCAGTTTGCTTCTAGCTTCTACTTTTCACTTTAGCACAACAACACTAAGTTGATTGCAAACTTCAGAAGTTTTGGATACAGAAATTTTACTAGATTTTATGCTCATCTGCACATTTACTGAGAATGACTCGACACTTTATCTAATTAGAGTACATGCATGTTCAACACGATTATTAAGAAAATCTCGCTCACTTCCCTCAGCGTTGTTACGGTCAGCAGCTTCGTCCAATTTAGCGAATTTTGCGAAGGCTGCAGCAAACGGCCGCTTTTTTTTCGATCAGAATTAGATCAAGTAAGCTGTGGGGAGAGCCCCACCCCGTCAGAGAACGTCTATATAACCACACAGATGGACAAAAAATATTTAGTGGTGTCCTACCATCTTTACCACAATTCCTTGCATCTAGCTCGTATATCGTCGCTGCTCGTGAAAGTGAGTTGGGTGTTATACGGTTAAGCGGAAGCTGTTGTAACGAGCTTATTTGGAATATATAGTGTGTCCGATCAGTGAGAAAATAGTTGATAACGGAATCCATTGAAGATGAGACACTCTGTAATCTGGCTTTTCATAAGGGATTTGTGGGAACTACATGGTTGCCTCAAGACAAACGAATGGTCATGTTCAGAGTTTTCTGGTGATCACTGACTTTTGACCATACGTCTTGAAATCTCCATGTTGTTCTGGCAAAAACGTCGTCAAAATGTCTGATGCCAGGGTGTTCGTCTTCAAGGAAGTGGCCGTATTTTTTTTCACAAAAACGCGTTTTGGACTTACAATTTGTAAATGGAATAATATTATGACTCCAAACAATCACTATTTTGGAATTTGCTTTTTCCCGATGCTAATTTGAAAGACGTTAGCTTTAGGATATGCAAAGTGGTGGCGACAAAAGTAATTGTTCATTTTTCGTTTTTCAAGAAATACGATTGATCTAATACTATGCAAAAAAATTGAATGGAATCACCTTTCAAAAGCGATTTGTCTTCAAATAGTGTCAGAAAAATATTTCTACAAGAGACAATAGTACATCAGAAGTCAATGTTTTGGATGCCTTTGGATGAAAATCACTCACTTTTCTAAAATGTGTTTAACCTACGTTTATAAAGATGAACATCTCAGTTCAGAAGCAGTAGAACTAAAATCTTCAATTTTATTACATGCTGAGTGAGATTAACCGACCTTACGCAGCACGTATCATAGTATCATTTTTCTAAGCTTTCAAAATATGTTTAATTCTTTAACCAATTAGTTACCCACCCAGAACCAGGTATTTCATACTCTCTGCCACTGTCTTCGTTAATATAAAATAATTCGTAACATAATTGATGATTAATTTAATGAATTATTAATTTTTTTCATTTTATTTTCAGCAATAACCATGCTTAGGATTTTCGTGTTGAGTTTATTTGCTGGTAAGTATGTTTTGTTTATAACTGCGGGCAAACATATAAATGCCACCGACAGGGTGCTTTCACAACATTGAAAAAACCTAAATGCCTATTTTTGACTATTTTGAGATTCTTTGGAACTTTTTGAAATACCGATTTGACTCTGCAAATCGGGTTTTGAAACCGCATCGTACATCTCAAGGCACCTTTGACAGCATAATGAACAGCTCAGGCCTCCTTAGGGAATCAGTAACTTATTTGTATGGCTAGGGACGAACTACCCCTAACAAAATACTGCTACTTTACATGATGTAAGCTGAGCGCTCAAAAATTGTACCTTTGTACCAATTTTTTTTAGGTTTTGCCGGCATTTCTAGTGTCGTTGAAGGACAAAATATTCTTAGAATACTAAAAAGAATCAGCCTTAAATTCTTCCCGATGTATTTATAACAAGCTAAAACGATCAATTACTAGCCGTGATTAGAAATTTCAGGCTATAGCACTTTTTAGAAAATGTTCATCGAAAAATAAATATGAAAAATCTGAGAAATGAGATAATTGTTGACTGCAGAATGAATAAGAAATAACTGTAATATATTTAATAATTTTTGTATATCAACAAGCTCAACAAATGTTATTTGATAAAAAAATAATTTATAATATAATTTCGGAACAAAACCGTTTCTCAAAAATCGTCAAGAGACAAGTTAATGTTAGCATAGCCCAAACGGATCACTATTTGATCCATGTTTCGGCAACACCCCGTATTTCTCATCTCTTAGTATGCCTGCCAGAGGTCTAAATTCACTACTTTGGCGCCGAACCTTGTCCAAGACACCAAATAATGCAGCTCGCAAATATTTTTCATTTCAGTGTCATGCGTATCAGCTGGCAAACGCACAATCTCTCACGTAGTTCCCCAGCAGCAAGTGCAGTCGACGCACCAGCACGTCGTCATCGCTGACCATGGCAGTTACGAAGCAGCTGGTGGGTACGACCACCATGGTGCCGTAGCTTACGATGATGGAAAGGGCGGTTCCACCGGGGCAGAGCTGACAAGCCTGGCGCATAGCAGTGCTGTGCAGGCTAAGAATGCAGTGCAGAATCAGCATACGCAGGGTAGTCAGGCTGCCTATGGGGTTAAGAGTAGTTTGGCTAGCGCCGCTTTAGGGGTGAGTGATGATTTTTCATTTGTATGGTTGTTTTCATACTTTTTGCCGACCTCAATAAGTGAAGAGATTCACTGTGCCATGGGCGGAGCTTAAGTCTTATAAGGTAAAGTACATACTGAGTAATCCTACCACAAGCTCGTCTGCTACTCACCTTGCACACATGAATTGGGTGATTGAGGGAAATTGTTTTCAGTCACTTCTGCCGTAGTTATATCTGCAGGCACTTTTACGTTTTACTTATATAATAATAAGGAACTTACGGCTTGATAATCAGGTTAAGATGGATACAATTCAGTACAAGAAAAATATTTCAAACCCAATTGTCTAAAAACTACCTATTTAGACTTAAACTTCCGAAAAGTTTAGTGTGACTATTCAAAAACCACGGAAGGACCTGATCATCTTAGTCAGCAGTCATCTGATCCGCCACAACCTGGCTTCAGTATCTCTTTACTTTCGAGTTTTCGAGCAGAATTCCTAATCTTCTCATTTATTATTAGCTTAGGGTATGCCATATCCATATACAGGGTGTTTCAGGACTATGGAACCAAACTGGTAGGAATTATTCAGTGTAACAATAGAAAACATTTGAGTATACGGACATTAATTGGTGTTTCCAATCTGGAATTTGTCCTGATGCGTTTAAAACAACTGCTATTACTCCTGTTTATAAAAGCGGTGACAGAATGGAAACATCAAATTATAGACCCATATCAGTACTATCGAATATAGCCCAAATTTTCGAAAAATTACTACAAAAAAGGAGATTACAATTTTTGGACAAAAACAAAATTATATGTTCTGACCAATATGGATTTAGAAAAGGAAAATCTACTACAGATGCAATTTTGGCTGCAATGGATGAAATTAACTCTAATGTCAACGAAAAGATACCTATTATTGGTATATTTGTTGATCTAAAAAATGCCTTTGATACGGTTAACCATGTCGAGCTTCTGAAAGTTATGGAAAGATTGGGATTTAGGGGAGCGTCACAAATCCTTCTAAAAAATTACCTTTCAAGTGGGGCACAGACTGTCAAAATCACTAACACTTACAGTGAAAAAATGTACATCAAGTGTGGTGTGCCTCAAGGAACAGTACTAGGCCCACTATTATTTAGTCTCTACTTAAATGACTTATTCAAAATTAACAGTTCTGGAAATATTATATGTTTTGCAGATGACACCCTCGTATTATATAAAGCTGATGACTGGAGCACACTGAAGCGAATAGCTGAAAAGGATTTTATACGAATCATTGACTGGTTTGATACTAAAATTTTAACAGTTAACTTCAAAAAAACAAAATTTATTGCATTTACATCCTATTCAAAATTTTTACCTACCTTCGAACAAATTTCCGTTAATTATCATAGCCAAAAGACCAAAATCGATAGAGTTAACACTTTGAAATATCTTGGAATATTTATGGACTCACATCTAAGGTGGGATAACCATATTAAATATTTTATCAAAAAATTAGGAATGTTGCCTATAAAGTTAAAATGCTTGCTAACATTCTTACAGAAAGTTATCTGCGAATCCTATACCATGCCTTAGTTGAAACCCATATAATATACGGCATTACAGCCTGGGGTGCCGCCTGCAAGTCATATATTTCTGATCTGAATATAGCACAAAAAACTGTTTTGAAAGCCATCTTCCATAAGCCAGGATTATATCCAACGAACAACTTATATCAAGAAACAGGGATACTTGATACAAGACAACTTTATTTCTTACATGCCACCACCTTATACCATAAGTATTGTAATAAAAAGAAAAAATCCTATAAACACGAGCATAACACACGATTTCGAATAGGCTCATCTAATATCCAAAGACCACACAAAACATTATTCAAAAAATCATTTAAATTCTTAGCAGCTAAATTATATAATGTAGTACCAAACGAAATAAAAATACTTAATTTTGGAAAAAAAAATTAGAAGAAAATTGAAAGACTGGGTTAGTACTGTGCAGCGAATGATTATACATAATTATATAGAAAACTAAAACTACAAAATTCCAATTATATTAATACTTCTTAGATTTAACAATAATTGTTAGACACATATATGATTTATTGTTAGTTATTAAGATATAAACCACACACAGACGATGCCTTCTGTGTTTTTTTCATATTTATTTGCCCATTTTTTGTATTTTGGCGAAAAAATATTATTATTATTATTATTATTATTATTATTATTGCTATATATCTGAAAAAGTGTCACTACCGCACTACGGCCCTAAGACGCATTAAAATTTAGAAAGACGATGAATTGTCTAAATAGGACTTAATGCATTTAATTTTTGCCTTTTGTACATGATATCATCACAACAATTGTTCAAAATGTCTTCCTCCAACCTGAATACACCGTTCCTGTGGGGACATGTAAAGTCCTTGGTTTACGACACTCCAGTATAAACAGAGCAAGACTTAATTGGACGAATTACAGCAGCATTTAAAATCATTCAAAACGAGTATCAAATTTTTAGTCAAGTCTGCCGAAATCATGTGCGACCTTTAAATCGGTGTATTCCGGCTGGAGGAAGACATTTCGAACAATTGTTGTGATGATATCATGTACAAAAGGCAAAAGTTAAATGCCTTAAATCCTATTTAGGCAATTCATCGTATTTCTAAATTTTAACTCATCTTAGGGCTGTAGTGACACTTTTCCGGATATGGGTCCCTATTCTCAAATGTTTTCTACTGTTACACTGAATAACTTCTAGAAGTTTGATCACTCAGTTCTGAAACACCCTGTATAAAGATGGTCTAGATCGGGCCAATTTTCTATATTGTGCATTTTGTGTTTCACGTTATCTCCAATTTATAAGATCTTACCTGACTCTTCAAAGAGATGATGAGAATTGAACGAAATGGGAGGACATTCCAAAAGACTGCTGTTACAGTAAAAAATACACACAATTACGCATTTTCTTTTTATACATTTTTAGGTATTTTGTTTGTTTGTTGAAGATTTATTAAACAATTATACTACAATGTCAATTTTTATAGGTATTCATTTAAACCTTTTTTGAATCAATTTTCTGTAATTTTACGTTTTTTTCTATCAAAGTTACATCGCTTTACATTTGAAGGAGGCACGCTAGCGTCCAAGGAGTACTAGATTGTTGTACCTCCATTGGACAGACCCTATTCACTTTCAACGTCATTTTCAACCACACAAAAATTGAGCCTCAAAGCTGCATCATCATTTTTTGTCAGTGTATTATCATTAATCACTGAACATAAGCTAGCGAAGCTGTGGATTTCAAGACGATTCATACCTTAGTAGCTTCTCCATGCACCAAAAAGTATGTTTTAAGAGTTCTTTAAACTGTCAACCCGGTAAAAAGTACCTGATCAAGCCTTTTAGTTTATTCCCACTTATATAGAAGGATATAAAAGGTTTGTTTTAGTCTCTGAGGCAGATCTTGAAAATACTATTTTTGGGGATCCTTTTGAATTACCCGTTCAAAAAAGTGTTGGGGCTCAGGATCCATGTTCAGAAAGAAGTCAGCCTAGGGTGGAGGGGTATTGACGATTTAAAATTGAAGAACAGGGCGAGGTTCGGTTATTGAACGTTAAAAAAACGTTCGAATTTTTTGAAACTCAGATAATTAGGGAAGTCCTGACTCTTTATATGACTAGCCAACTGTCTAACCAAACTTCACTGTTCATTGGATACAATTCATGAGATATTTATCTGTCATGCTTCGTTAGGAAATTTATCACTGCGCACTCCAAACGTGTTTAAAGGTGTTCCTGAATTTCCACTGAATGTCCCATAAACCTACAAACAGTGCCGAAAGCTCATTTAATTATGATCGTTGAACCTATTCAATAACAACATTTTCCGAGCTATTTAACAACAATTTTCCGACCTATTTAATAACAATTTTCCGAAAGAAATACACCCAAACTCCTGAAAGCGTCTAAATAATGGAAAAGAGAGAGGAGATGTAACCCGAGAAGCAGTGCAAGTCATATGTCGAAGTCACCCACACACCAGTAACGACGTGTCTCATTTTCACCACTCCACCGCACTTTCAGCTGTTTCTCACAAAGTCTTTTTGATTATAAGTAGCTCACAGTAGTTATATCTAATATGACACATCTGAATAAGACTTCTAGCTTCAACCAGTATCGATGTATTCCAAATGACGTCCAAGCAATTTAATTACTGTTATTGGAAAAACAATAGAAAAAATAGTCCAAATTAGATTAAGAGACTTTCTAAAAACCAACAAAATGATAAGTGTCAACCAAATACAAAAAAAACCATGGATCACATTTTTACATTACTCTAACAGTTATACTCAAATATAAACGATAAACAAACTTCAGTAGCTATTCTTTAGACTTTTACAAATCTTTTGACTGAGTAAATTATGATATTCTATTAAAAAAATTAAACAAATGTGGTTGTACTTGAGCTTTGGTTTAAAACATATTTTAATAATCGATCCCCAATAGTAAAATTATCAAGGCATTATGTTTCAAGTAAATTGAATATACACCCAAGGCCACCTCAAGGATCGGTATTGGGTCCGATCATATTCTTAGTCTATATCAACAATTTGTTAAACTTAAGCATAAACGATCCGTCCGTAGTCCTTGCTGACTATACCTTGGTAAGACAAAGACATAACTGAAATAAAGACAAATATTGATAGTGATATCCAATCAATGGTGTGACAACAATTATTACTTGACTTTCAATGTTAATAAGAGAAAATTTGTGACATTTGAATGCTTCCTTATGAATTTAAATAATGAATTGATACACAAAGCAGACACCATCAAATTTTTGGGACACCATTGACCATAAATTACATTTTGCTAATCATGTAGACAAATTACTTACTCAACTAGCGAAGATTTTCTTCATTACAGTTACAACGTAGGGAAAAGCACAACCTAAAGCAGTTACTTTGTCTTATTTCAAAGCAGATTCAGATATAGCTTTCCCTTTTGGGAAAAACGATCTGTTAGATATATAACTAAGAGCAATCCTAGAGCTTTGTGCAAACCTTTATTTGTAAATCTTAAAATGATGACTGCTGTATCGTTGTTCGTACCATATCAGACGACAACAAGATCTTAAATAAGTAGTACCTAAATCAACACTTGTCAAACACTAAATCATTTATCACGATTTGAAGATTTACATGTGCCTCTCTAATGCTATCAAAAGAATTAATGATTAAAAGTTATTCCGGCGTGAACTGAAAAACTTTTTAATATGTATACCATATTATAGCTTGTGTAAGTTTCACAATTCAACTACTCAAGATCCACTTACTTAATTTTTAATTTGGAATGATAGATCTTTGGGAATTTAACCTGTTACTTTTCGGTTAAGGTATAGTATCGGCGTGTCAATTTCCTCGTCCCAAATTTCAGTTCTCTAACTACAAAAAATAAGTAGGGCGGAAGACTATATATTTGCGTCATTCTACGGAAAATATAAATACATTCAGTAAGATCATCATCTAAAATCTAAGAGAAAGTATTTTAAAAATTCTCCAAATTTACCCATGAGGTCTTAGGAAAACATCATAACCGAAATCTTCTCAAATCAATATGTGTTCTCTTGCATAAGCATTTTATTTTCAATTCTCGGTTGCAGGCTGCTCAAACCGCTCAAGCCGCCTTGGTAGGCAAACAAGCCATCGTCCAAAACCTGAAACGTCAAGCCATCGAAGCCCAGAGCCGTCTCCAAGGCGAGATCTCCCAGTACCACCAAATGGAGCAGGCTGCGGTTGCAGCTCAGGAAGCAGCGCAGCAAGCTCAAGGATTGGTCGGTTCTCTTACGGCAGCTCTAGCTACTGCTCAAGCTGGTGCTGATAAGTCGCATCATGCTGCAGCTGAAAGCGCTAATGCAGCCGCAGCTCAGCATGAAATGGTCAACGATGCCAAGCAGAAGGTAAGATATTGGGTGGTATGTTGGATGTCTATGAGCAGCTGTTTGCAATCCTAAAAAAGAAATGTCAGATTGAGGTGAAAGGGGCATCATGGTCTATTTTATAAATTTTGAAAATCGCAAATACGGTATTTGTTTTTCACGTAATAGGAGGTATCGCAAATGGAACATTGTAGTTTGAAATACTTATAACGCACCATTTTCCAAAATTTACTTCTAGCACTGTTTTACAATTTAGTGGAGAATGATTGGAAAATCCGCTATGAAGGGATACATCATTGAGCAATGCTTAAAAATCGTCGAACATTTTCGGGTCTGTTTAGGTTTGAGCCTGAGGTGATAGCATGGAAAAGCTCAGTTCTAAGACTATGTTATTTCTGTTCAAACTTTTGACAACAAAAGACAGCAATGAGTCTTCATGGTGCTGTAAGACGATGAAGTATTTTAAGAAAGCCCAGGTCTTATTTCTCAATATTGAATACTGTTGCAACATATTTTGACAAAAGTTGTGGAAAACTGTCCAAGACTAGTGATTTCAACGAGGTGAAACTATAGCAGACCCTTCAAGGAAATGGTCAATGATAAGGCTCATTTAGCCTCCGCATTTTCCGGAGTTAACCTCGCCTGGGTTTTTCGATTGGACGAGGGAAGGAAACGTGTGTATATGAGTAAGCTGACAGGCATTGCATATAAAAAAGACAATGTTCGCAGTCATAGTGTCCAAAATTGAGCGGAAAGTTATGAAAACCGCCATGGATGAAAGGTCGAGGTGATTTCGTTTATATCTGATTACAGTACGACATATTTTAAAAATAAATTGTCGTTTAAATGAAAAGGTTATGAAGAAATGGACTTGTCCTAAAAAGCATTCTTGCAGAGTCAAAATGAAAACACGCCTGTAGCTCATTTTGAACAACGAGTACGGCTGATGAGTCTATATTCAAATATACAGGGTGTTAAGTGGGAAAGTTCTCTTTTTGATTTAAGAAAAAAATGCAAACTTAATGAAAAGAAAATATTTATTACTATCAACATTCCCTCCAAAGGTTTGTAATCCCTTCGCACATACTCTTCTAATCGCGCGCGCAAATTCTGAATCAGTCTCTTGCAGAGTTCCCTAGTGATGTTGATTATTTCTCGTCGAATGTTGTCTTTAAGCTCGTTCAGTGTTCGTGGATTATTGGAATACACTTTTGAGTTTAGATAACCCCACAAAAAAAATCGCATGGCATGGGGTCGGGAGACCAAGGAGGCCAGTAAATGTCTCCAAACTTCGATATAAGATTTTCGATTCTCTGAAAGTATGGGCAGTGGCTCCATCCTACGTCGTCGTTTTTTTCTTACAATAGGAGCAAAAAAGTGTCAATCATGTCCTTGTATCGCTCGGAATTGGCTTTCAATGCATGACCGTTTTCACCTTCAAAGAAATACGGCCCAATAATACCGCTAGAGGATATGGCGCACCAAACAGTTACCTTTGGACTATGTAACTGTTGTTGATGTTTCTCTTTTGGGTGTATTGGTGCCCAGTATCTGCAATTCTGCTTGTTCACACAACCATCTAAGTAAAAATGGACGTCGTCACTGAAAACAACATTCTCGAATCTGAGCTGCGTAGGAAAAGATTCAACATCCGTTCGGCACAAGATTTCCGTAATACGTAATCACTCCTTTAAATCATGGACTGTTTGGATATTATGAGAATGAAAACCCACTTTTTTGTTCATTATGCCATGTAGTGTTGACCAAGGGACTCCCAAAGCAGCAGAATGCTTGCGTGTAGAACGCCGAGTATTTGCAATGACCGAATTCACTTACTCGACGCACATTTTCCGTGGTTGATATAGCAGGTGTGGGACCAGGAATGGCTTGACTAAGAGAAGAACTTGTTTCACTGAATCTCTTAATCCATTTTTCAATGGGTTCTTACTTGATCGTGTATGAAATTTTCGCAGGGCAGCTCCGGTCCAACGTTCCATTGTGACTATTTAACCCGCACTCCGAACGCGTCGATCGAGACCTCGCCCAAATTCCTCGCGTATACGTTTGCCTCGTAATTCAAATTTAAAATGCAAACTTTCCCATTGGAAAATGCTATTCATGATTCTAAATATATCAAAAATTTAATAAGTGGCGTAACCTTGGGGGTTAGTTCTTTTCAGATGTCGGACACCTCCAATTTGGATAAATAGTAAATATAGACATACAAATGGAGTAAACGACTTTCAAATATCTTTATATGTTGAGTTGAAGTTGGAGCAGCTTAATTTTCTGGAAAATTACCAGAGCAAGACATGTCAATTCTTCAATTCGACGGACCAGCGACATTGTGGATATCGAGCAATTTCATCGGTTTTCTGGCAACCTCGTGGCTATAGGTTACTTCTCACACACATTGAAAAACCCTTAGGATCAAACGGTACTTGGATGTTGTGATGCGGGATATTCGTGGTGAAGCTGGCCACAAAGATATCGCCAAGTGCTTCTGCATTAGTCCCCAAAACCTTAGCATGACGATGATCGAAGAGTCTTTCCGATCTGCTAGAACAGCGTGGATAACTTTAGCTGTTACTGAACAAATAGTGAATGCAGCATAGTCTGTAAATATCTTCTTTCCCAGTCAACGGGTCCGTAATGTCAAATTAGCTTAAATTAGTTTTTGTTTTCACATAACTGTATCACCATTCGAGTTACACAGGTAGACTAGACCAGAGAGCACTCTGTAGCAAATTTAGTAGGCTGCTTACGTAAAAGTGACCAATAAGATGTTTTTTGTGAATAATGATAAAATCTTATCTATCTAGATGAAAAATGTAAAATCAGTCTGTAACTATAATTTACGTTCGGGGTGTTGAAATATGATTCAAGCCTGTGATCTTGAAATAAAACACTGATCTGCATGTTTTACTGGTAGTCAAAGGAAACTCCAAAAAGTCAATTGAAACTCTACTGTAGCGGCAAAAATAAATGAAATGTCACCTAAATGAGCGATAAATAGGATGTTTTATCATTTTGTACCGAATGGGCTAATCATAAAGAACACCCGCTGTATCTTGGCAACCGCTCTAGCTGGAGCTATCGGTTAAAAAAATTATGATGAAGTTGGAATTTTCGGCTCCCTGAAATGGCCAACGAGTCATTCCTACTTTAGAAATTCAAACGCGAAAATGATATTTAACATACTAACTAAATAGCTTTGTCGTGTTGTGCCGCTCAATTTTGTAGATTTTTCGTTCACGTCACTTTTTCATCTTTTGGTTAGCTTAGGGTAGGAAAAAAGATTAATGCTATTTTAGAAAAAGTTACATAAATTCTGTTTGGCTTCATCGATTTTGATTATCTTCATCTCGTTTGAAAGAGTATTTACCTGCACTCCTAACGAATGTTCAGTCTTTTCAGTTTGTTGTTGCTAGATGACGCTTTAAGGATGTGCCAACGTATTATTTTTGGATTTTTCCGAGAATTTGAAAAACAACGATATTTGTCTTTATATTGATCGAAAACTGCACTAAAATTCCTATAAAATGGTTGAAACTGCAGATCAATACATACATATACTTGTAATGGAGATATATTAAGAAAAGGACTTAAATTACAACTTTGACATTTGATTTTTTGAAATTAGAATCAGCGGCCATTTAAAGGAGCTGAAAATAATTTCCGACATGAGAAGATTTATTGAAAAATGTTTTAATCGGTAGCTCCAAGCCGGCCGTTTGCCGAGATTCAGCCGGCGTCCTTTATTATTGACGCACCCGGTACATTGTACCGACGTGCCACAAACGTCAGTGGATTTCGTCTTATTATTCGAAGGCCAATAAAACATGGAAATTGATAAACGAAACAACCACAGTAAATGGTTCAGATAGACAAAACAAGCATTGCTTGAATCTACACCAAGAAAAAAGTTTAATGTTACCATCTCTCGATTTCAGGTCGCAGGAATCATCGGTCAACTCCAATCAGCCCTCGGCGACCTCCAAGAAACCGAAGCCGCAGCTTACAAGGCAGCCGAGTCAGCTCAGATAGCGCAATCCAACGCGGCAGCTGCGGGACTTGCTGTGGCTGTAGCTGGGGCGAAAGGAGCAGCGCACGCAGCTGCTGCTAGTGGGGGTGATTATTACCAGCATGGTCATGGTCATGGTCACCACTAGGTGGCTATCGCGATCGGGCTCATAGGAAGAAATTTGTAATATATTTTTTTATAAATAAATGTGATATCTGAAATTCTTATTTTATTTTGTAGTTAATATAACGATAATGATAATGTGACATCAGTGAGGCGAAGCTTCGCCAAAGAAGAACTCTTACACTTAACCTCACTGTGTGAGAAAAAGTCGCAAAGACAAACTCGATAATCAAAAAAAATAGTAATAAGAAAAAGAAAAAGAAGCGGAAAAGTGGAAACTTGAAGTGTTTCCAATACCAGCAAAGTAATGTAGGAACCCGCGAAGCAACCCCAACCGCACGACGCTGCTCCCCGCGTAGAAGAGCGACATCTGCGCGCTTCACCGAGTGCACCTGCAACGCCGCATGTTCTGGAAAATCGTAGAAGAGGCAGCTACAGACACACGCTCATGACTGAATTCATGAACGAGCGTGCATTAACGCGCATGCATCGACGCGAACTTGATTTATTTACAGACGCTCAAACTTTTCTGCCTACTTTTAATCGGTGTGCGCAACGAAAGAAGTTGTGATGTCGTCTGATGAAGAGCTTGCTTTTATGGTAGTGGCATGCGATTACGTTTTAAAGAGCGCCAAAAAGTTGAAATGCGTCGTCGCCTGTGGTCTAAGGAATGGCTTTTAAAAAGGCAGTCATTTTGACCCGATGATTGGCGAATGGATGAGGATACCTATGTAGAATTGTTAAAAAAGGTTACTCGCTAATTAAACATCAGGACACAGTTATGACATCTGCAATAAGTGCACACGAACGGTTAACCGCAACCGTTCGATATTTAGCGACTGGACGAAATTATCACGAATTAAGATTTTCCAGGATAATATCTCCGCAAGCGTTGAGCGAAATAATTCCTGAAACATGCTCAGCCATATACCAAGTACTACAGCAAAAATTCATGAATGTAAGAAAAACATAAAATTTATTTTCATTAAATAACGAAAAACATAACAGCATATCCATAACAGTATAATATTAATTACTGTAAAGGATTATAAGAGCCATAATACGCAGCAGCTGTATTACTATTGTTAATTGTTGTTTTGGTTGGTTGGTGTAGACTGAGTCCAGATGGGATCACAGTTTGGTGGCGGGGGAATAATGTATTACTATTACCAATTGGTGTTGGTTGGAGTTGATTGGGTTCCAACGTAATTCTTGTACGTTCGTTACCTTTTCCTAGCTCCTCTTGAAATAGAACATCGTTTATTAATTTTTCTGAATAAAGTCGTATTTCTCTTGGCAATCGCCGTAATTTAATTGCTATCGATTTTCCTATAAGGTCGAACCCGTCTGCCGGATTATTGAGTCGTGTACCGACAATGTCTGATATCTGATCTGCTTTATTAATATGTTGATGGTGTGCTTTGAATTTTTTGGACCTTTGGGGTAAAGGTGGTGATGATCGACTGGATAGTGCTGATGTACAAAGTCTTGACGTGCTCGCCATACTATGTTCTAAATGTGCCTCCATTTCAATTTATTCAGATACGGCATCACCTGCCTGAAAATAATACACACGTATTATATTATATATTTATACATTTTATTAATTGATATATATTTTTTAAAGTTTCCTACAACAGAAACAGAATGGAAAAGAATCTCTGGAGGCTTTGAGGAAGTATGCAACTTTCCTAATTGTGTAGGAGCCGTAGATGGCAAGCATGTTCAAATCAAACCACCACCGGGCAGCGGAGCATTTTATTATAATGGCAAGGGTTATAACAGTTTAGTTCGGCTATATGTAATGCAAATTATGAATTTATAACTTGTAATTTTGGTACCAATGGTCGAATCTCGGATCGAGGATCGAGAATAAAACATTAAAGCTGCGACCTGCAACATGCCCACGAAACAGTAACAGAGAGCTACCATTTGTGTTCGTTGTAGATGAAGCTTTTGCATTACGTAGTGATTTCTTAAGACCTTACATTCAAAATGACCTGAATCATGATCGAAAAATTTATAATTACCGCTTATCAAGGGCACGCGATGCAAAATTGAAAATTCATTTGGCATACTATCACCAAGATTTCAAGTACTTCAGACAGCTATCGGTCTACAGATAGACAAGGTCGTAATGGCTTGCTGCGTCCTGCATAATTTCTTAAGACGCAAATGCAGTCAGTCTTACTCACCATTGGATTCTTTAGATCAAGAAAATCGTACAGACGGAACGGTGCAAGTCAGGCTTAGAGCAAATCCTAAGCAACTAGCAAACCTGCTACGTGACCATAGCAGAAACTTCAGTAGCGAAGCAAGTCATGTGCGTCAAGAATTTACTCAATGTTTTAACGCAAGGGGCTCTGAGCTGGAAAGAACGAATGATACAATAATAATTAATGGTGCAGTCATAACAATCAAAACTTTTGCGTTTGTCGTCAGTTTAACAAGTAGTTTTCTGAATTATCACTTAAAAATTAAAGTTAGCTGCTACAATTTGGAAGATTGTACACCACCTACTTTATACATATCAGTAAAATAAATATTAAAAATATTCTTTATTTAGTTATTGACTTACCTCTCTCCCATTCTCCTCTTCATCTATTTGCATCTCTTCCACGTCGTCATGCACTTCTCTTTCAATATTTGAAACACACTGTCTTGGTATCTCCTGATACTTAACAAATAACAGTATTTCGTAATACCACAGGGCTAGAACATATACATCTTGCAACGTAGATCCACTTCTTTTCGAGTTTTATACTTTTTTATATTCTCTTCGGAAACCACCACGCAGAGTATTAATTTTTGTTATGACTGATTGTTTTGTAGCATTAAGTTGAATTCTTTGTAACTTTTCCATTAACAATGTGTATGCTGCATTTTTTTTTATTTTTATCTAGATATTCTTTTGCTTTCGTTTGCCAGAGACAAGGATGTGCTCCTTACAATTCAATGAATTTTCTGGTGAAGCCTTGAGTCACTGTTCTGACGTCAGATATCTCTACAATCAATAAAAATTACTTACTCGAAGATAATTCGTACTTTCTTGATCAACGGCGCTGACCTCTGATTGTCTGCGGAATTCGCACGTTCCTTTGCCTCTACACGTTTCTGTCGAGAACTGAAATTTACCCGCCACGCCAATTGTAAACGCACGTTTATGAACGCTGCCGATATCTGCATACACACTGACGTTATTGGGTGCGCGTTTATGAACGCGTGTTTATGAATTAACCCTTTCAATCCGGATTTGTTTTTTTAACATTACTGTTTTGAAATGTTGTATACCTATGTAAAAATAAACTAAAAAGAGGTAATTTGGTGAAATAAATTTTTATTTCAAACAGGCTTTTATAAAAATAATGGGACACTGATGTACCAGCAGGTTCTTTTGGCGGGACATATTTGTCAAGTATGATATGGCGTAAAACAATCTACGCATAATGGCAAATCACACATCGTGTACAAAAGTTTGGTTCTCTTTTCAATTTTTCTTTGAGAGCAGCGATAGCACCTTCTTCTTGTAGGCCCTTTCTCAGGTAAATGATCACCAACATTACTTGGATCCGTGCATGGTTGTGAGTGACGAACTCTTCTGGTCCTTTTACGTTTCACACCTGTTCTACCATGGGCTATCAGTAACTCCGCTAGTTTTACGACATATTGAATGAAGGTAGTATTGTTTTGATGTGTTTCTCGGAATAGTATAAAAGAATTATCAACCGCCATCATAAGAGATTTATAATAGACTTTTCGCCATCAGTTCGCAGATTTTCTGTTGATATCATTATAGAGAAACCATTTGATCGGCATGGTCCACGCCGCCCATATACTTATTGTAAAACTCTATAGCCTCAGGGCACGGAACTTCTGAACTTGATCCGTCTTTCATTTTTCTTTTAACTTTAATTATTGTAGCTTTATGACAATTGGAAAGTAAAACAAGGTCTCTAGTATCTTGCCATCTAATAGCTAAAGTTCCCTGATTACTATATCTAATTTGGGATTTCCCCTCTTGCTAGTTTCCCTTCAAATTTCGGCACATCCTTAGGATTCCTCATACATTTCCCCAGTGCAGTAAATTCAATGTCATTCATCAACTTTACTGATGTGAAAAATCTGTCAAAACACAAAAATACATTTTTGTTTGACGAATTGAAGAGGTCAGCTTTTTCACTACACAATCATCGAGGGTTCCTTCAGTCACCTTCGTTTCCTTGCCACTATAAATATTCAGGTCATAAACGTACCCTGTCAATGAATCACATCTTGTCCATATTTTAATTCCACGTTTTACTGGCTTTAGTGGCATGTATTGTTTCACGGTCGACCTACCCTTAAATTTTGCCATTGATTCGTCGATACATTGAAACGTCACTTCTTGCCTGAGGAAAGGTTTTTTTGAAGCATGATATTACTTCGTCCATGTAATAGGTTTTTGATTGATTGTCGGGCTTTTCAGGTTCGTTGAAATACAACTTTGATAAAAGTAGTTGACATCTATCCCTAGATAAAGCGTGTTTTATTGCTTCGTTACCAAGAGACGGATTATTTGACCGATACATTGCAAATGTTGGTACTCTATTATAATGCATGACCAAACACACACCAGTTACTAGCATGATTTCTTTGGCATTAGTTTTTTCAATTTTTTTCTTTATAGTTTTTTCGTGAATTTCTAGCCTTTGATTTGTGCAGTGGGTAATATAAAGAAATAAACTTCTTGGGAAGACCTTTATAAAGCAGTTCAATTCAGTACTGCCACGATTTAGGTCACACTGTATGGTAGGTTTTACTTCAGGGGGTATAGTTTTTCTAGAAACAAAATTTTCGTTGTTAGTAGACCACAAGATAATTTTAGCACCCAGCTGTTGCTTTGCTTCATCAGTCTTTTCATCTTCCTCAACACTCTGCATATAATTGTCTTCATCATCAGAAGAATCACTATCGCTTCTTTCTGACCCTGATGGAATGAAATTTTCACTCAGGTGTTCAGTATAGTACTCCAATTCGGCTTCTGTAAGGGCATTTTTTCTGGCACTCATGTTGTAACAAAAGAAAAAGTTGAAAGTGTACAAGCCTAATGGGACACATCTGGCCCGGTATGAATACCTGTTGGGACATATATGATCCAGGGATAAATAATGGGAAGGAACACTCAAAAAAATTAATTTATTGTGTTATATTTATATATAAATACTTACTTCTGTTCTACAAAACAGCAATAAATATTTGAAACGGATCACTATAAATGCAAGTAAAACACTAAAACATGCGCTGTCTAGATGTATACACAATCACACCACGTGTTCAACTGCTTGCATTTTGTTGCTCCATGTTGCCACATCGCAAATTATTCTCCCACAACCATAAAATACTGATATGTCCCAGTGCGAGGTATTTCAAATACGAGGAGGTCATTTCAGGAATTTATCAAAAGCTGCTGGGACATATGTGTCCCTACAGGAGGGAAAGGGTTAAGTCATAAGCGTGTGTCTGCACCCGCCTTAGCAGAAGTAATACCCTTCGTTACTGTTTTTTCTGTTCTTATTTTCTACACTATTTTGTAATCTCAACCATTTATATTTTTTCCTCAAGTAATTTCACTTATAATTCTCATAGCATGATGTTCATTATTTATGTCTCAATTGGGCCAGCACTTGTATCAGTTTTTTCTGTATGTTGACCCTTTTTGCAATTACATTTACTTTTTTAATATGTTACTGTACTTACCGGTTGAAATTGTGAATAAATTTCTTTATTATTATTATTATGAGGTAGCTCTCTAGCCAGCGTATCAATTTTCCTCAAATTCCAGAATACTTATTAACAATCATTTGATGAAACATCCTGTATAAGAATCAGAACACAGCATCGAATCTGCCTGAACGCCGCACCAGTTGTTCAACAATACTTTCGTTCTCATTTATAGACATCAGGAATAGTTCATCCAACAAAAAGTACACGTTTGAGAGCAGAGCAGGAAAGGCAGTAACTGTTTTAGATTGCAAAGGAATCCGATCGAAACGACGACCGCTTCGCTTATTTGTAGGCTCCTCCGGGCGTGTTCTATGTTCTATAAGGCACTATGAGCATTTTATTCGCCTGTAGTGACGGGAAATGTACGCGTAAATTCGTTTTACGATCTTGCATAAATAAGTGAAGCTCAGGCTTCGCGCTAATCAGTTCAGTCGAAAAAAGATTTATCGTTTGTTGCGTGCGGTTTTAATTTAACGCGCGTCTGACATCCAAGTTAATAAAATTCGGTTCTGATCTGAATATAGCATGTTGAAAGGTTCCTTCAAGAATTCAACAAACTGTCGTGAAGAATTATTTTTGACCCAAGTTAGTCCCTTTGAGCTAGCTACAATCATATATAACAAAAAAATTAAATGGGTCAAGTTAGCCAAACAGGCTCATTTACAACTAGTATATACTCCATAGTACCCATCAAAGATTGCGTTGACGTTTTTGCTAGACCACTTTCTGTTATTTTCAATTTGATGGAAGGCACTTGTTCTTTTCCGCAAATATGGCAAATGTCTAAGGTATGCCCTGGTTTCAGTAGCGGTCATTACGAACTACCGTAAGATTGTCATTTTGTTGAATTTTGGCAAATCATTTGAGATAGTTATTTATGAGCACATTTCTTACTTTTAAGGCCCATGTCTCTGGATTTCAACATAGGTTTCTTTCTGGACGATCTACGACATCTAATCTAGCTTGCCTTGCCCAACTTGTTGCCAAGATTCTGGATCAGCAAGGCCAGATTGATGTAATTTGTACAGATTTACAGAAAGCCTTTGACCGAATCGGCCATTGCTTATTACTGCATAAATCTACCCTCGCTCCTCCAGTCATGTCTTTTGGACAGAACACTGTTTGTGGAATATGGTGTTTTCAAGTCTAATAATTACATAGCTACTTCAGGAGTTACCCAGGGGCCTAACTTAGGACCTTTATTATTTTTAATCTTTATTAATGAGTTGTTGCTTGAGATTAAATGTCATTGTTTATTTTTTGCTGATGATTTAAAAAATTATAATATCGTAACTTCCGAAGACTGTCATTTTCTTCAAAATAATTTGGAAGTTACCAATTCATGGTGCTCCAAAAACCTCCTCACACTATATTGTAGGAAACAAAATGTTATGATTTATGATGACTACAGTATGAATCAGGTAAAGTTGGAAACGAGTAACACTTCCACCCTCCATAAAGGACAATGCCTCAGTATTTTTGAATCAAATCACCATACCTCACAATAGAAATGCAAAATACCTGCGATTGCACATGGATGACAAGCTGAACTGGAAACAACATTTGTCCATGAAAAGAAAACAAATGGGTTTAAAAAAATAAGGAATTAAATTGGCTCATAGGTCACAAACCAAGACAACAGATGATTGACTCACAAAGCCGTTATCAAGCCTATTTGGTTACACACGTACAGCTTTGGGGATGGAGAAACGTTTCCAGACATCTTCGTGAGGCACAGGAACTCATTGTAGGGCCCAGAGGTAAGTATAAACGTTTCTGCTTATCTTTGGATGGAGCCAGCCTAAGGTTGCTGGTGTCTGGACATAACATGTTAAGGCGCCACCTGCACGTGATGAGGATGGCTGAAGATCACTTGTGGGGTAGAAGAAGAGACCTCGGCGCACCATCTGTGTCGCTGTGAGGCTCTGAGCTACTACAGGCAGCTTATACTCGGATCCATCACGTTGGACTCCCAGGACGTTAAGAAGCTTGGACTCAACTTCGTTGGAATGGCGAGACTTGAGGTCTGATGAATGTTGAGGTGCACAACGACCCGCGCTGGCTCCCCATGGTGGCCGGTATGCCTCTATTTTCATGATTTATGCATTCCATTTATTTGGAGATGCACCAGCAGATCAAACATTTCAATCCAACGCGCCCAATCAGAGACACTCCAGGCATACCCTGGTATGTTTAAAATCTAACACTCCATGGAGATCTGAAAATCTTACTCGTCAAATTAGTCATCATGGAAAGAAGTTTCAAGCACCATGCTCGACTTGGCAATTATCCAAACGTACTGCTGCCATCGCTATTAGATTCCATCGACACCAGGGGCTGAAAAGGAAATACTCTTACAATCTCCAACTACCGATTTTCAACCATTACAAAAATTAGATAGTCAAGGTACAATATTGTGTTTTGGAAGTATGTATTAAGCTGTACCAGATTGTTGCGCCCCGAAGGAGTGACAACTTCCAGGTCTCTTGTCATAGAGGAAGTCGCTACCAGTCTTCTCTTCTCCAATTCACCGACAGAGATCAGCGTGTGCAACTACCGAAAACTATATTTATCAAAAGGAATCTGACAACCTCATTATTATTCTACGCAGCTTCAAGAGCGTGGCGTTAGATGATGGACTCGCCCTTTCGCACGTGGTAAAAGATAAACAAACATGAATTCAGTTGCAATAGAATTGTATATTGAAGCTTAGTATACATATTTAGCATTGGCGTAACTCTCTTCAGCTGCAGCTTGAGCCTTCTTAACAGACGCCTCCGTATCCAGCAGATGAGCCAGGGCCACCTTCAGCTGCGCAACCAGATTAGCAACGATTTGCTTCGCGTGGAACACCATGTCTTTCTGCGTAGCTGCGACTTTATCGGCTTCAGCTGCAGCTAAGTCGGCTTTCTGTGCGTTCGCATGCGCAACTGTTAGTGCGTGCGTCAGCTCGTGGACCTGCGCATGCGCTTTAGCAGCTGCATGTTGGGCTGATTTCGCAGCGACTTCTGATTGGCGGTATTGGTCTGTTTCGCCATGAAGCCGATGTTGTGCTGATGCCAGTTGGTGTTTCAAGGATGAGACGATAGAAAGTTTGGAGTGCAGGGCGACTTTTGCCGTCTTTGCGTTCTGGAAATATAAAAGAGAACTATGTACCCCTCTCGTAGGCTTACCAAAGAATTATGTCGATAGATACACGTAAAATTGACAAAATTTACACCCTGTATAACAACAAACGTTTTCAATTTTTTGCAAGATCGGTAGTCGATAATGATAACAATGAAATTACCTACAACTTGACGGAAAAACTAACGAAATTGATGCAAAGGTTAAAAAGTTTTAATTTGACAAAATTTTGTTTGTCCGATTAATTTTGCGTTTACAGTATATATTCTTTATTTTATGAGTAGACTTCATACGAGCCCCTTCCCACTTCAGTTGGCCCGACTATTGAAATCTTAGTTTTTTTCTTATCAAACACAAATAATAAAAATGTAGCAGGGTGTTATAGGTTCAAAATATTAACAATGAATATTTTGATAATATATAGTAGAAAATACCAACTTTATCACTCCCTAATCAAATTTGCAGCATAAAAATAACACATGTTGCAATTACAGCATATCAACCTATTTTCATTTCAATGCAAAATAAGTCTATAACGCATATGTGGCTGTGGAAAATAAAAGCCATGACAATTGTTTTTATTAATCACAGCTGTCAGAATACGTTTAAAATAGTTTTGGGTAGTTAAGGTTTTCAAATTGCGTAGAGGAAAGGTTATTAGTGCGAAAATTCAGTTACTGATAATTAAATTTTCTAATTCTGGGAAATCAAACTCAGAAGTTGCAACATTTTTAGACTTATCGCGGTACAGTATGATAAATATTGTTAGAAGACATAACGTAACTGGGTCAGTTATTATTAAGCCACGATATGTGAAAAAAAGTAGTATCACAAATGCAGACCGAAGAGCATAGTGAGTCCCACAAACTGGATTTAGCACCTGCAAGGTAAGTTTTCTTATAAAAAAAAGTGAAGTAAAAACTCTAAAGTTGCACAACTTGTATATGGGCCAAAGAAAAGCCACTATTAACTCCTCTGCAAAAGAAAAATTGACTTAGATGGGCTAAAGAACATAGACAATGGACACCTCAACAATGGTGTGCAATACAATGGAGTGATGAGGCCCAATTCGAAGTTTGTGTTGGTGACAGTCGCAGTAGAGTTATTCGCAAAAAAAATAAAGCATTCCATGTTGACTGTCTGAAGAGAAAAGTGAAATTCCAGCATCCATTATGGTATGGGGCAGTATGTCATCAAAAGGAGTAGGAAAACTTCATTTTATTGATGGAAATGAGGATACAAACAAATATTTGGCAATTTTAGAAGAATCGCTTTTAAAAGTGATGGAATAATGTTTGACATCCGGCCAAGATTTCGTGTTCCAGCAAGATGGTGCATCGTGCCATAGCTGAAAAAAGGCTATAAAATGGATGGAAGAAAATAATGTACCACTTTTGAAATGGGTTTCTAGCAGTCCAGATCTGTCTCCTATTAAAACTTTGTGGCACGAGATGAAAAAGGTTCTACGACAACATCCTGCTCGTACAATCACCGAACTGAGACAAAATCTTCAAGAAATATGGGATTGTTTTACACCAAATTTTTGCAAAAACTTGGTTAACACTATGCTCCAAAGAATTTGAGCCGTAATAAAAAATAAAGGTGGTTACAAAATCGTAATCTTTCAATTGTTGCTTTGTTAACTTCGCGCATGTATTCGCACATTGTTTATTTGTTTAGATGTTCTATTAGTTATAAGTCTAAGTGATTTCAAATATGTATTTTTTACGACTAGAGTGAATCTAAAATGTTTTTGAGGAAATAAATTGTTTTAGAAGTAAATAGTTTCATCATGTTTAGTTTATAAAGGCATGTTTTGGTACAAATCTTGAAGTGGGCCAACTGAAGTGGGCAGGGGCTCGTACTTCTTTCTGTCTAATTTAAAAGAACCTAGTCTGGGAGATGTGTCTCTCATTTTGAAAAGATGTATAGCGTATACATTTTTGTGACTTTGGAACAATAAAACTAAAAAATGGTGTCAAGTAGATTGACTCTATACTTGCTGCGCCTTCGTTGGAGGTTTCAAATAAAAGGGATAAGTCAAATCGTTTTAGAGGCGAAATCTAAGTTAAACAGTTCAACAAATAATCAGAGGTGGAGGTCTTTCTATAAAGCACCGTATGTTCTACATACCTGGGCAGCAACAGCAGCATAATTGCTCTTTACTTCATATTCCGCGTTTCTTGCAGCACTGTGCGGACGATCAAAATCTTCACCATATATTCCGTAGGAAAGTGGTTTTGGGTATGCGTAAGCTGAGAGAGATAGGGAGCTGCCATCTTTCACTTGATCACCAGGTGTTGCAAGGTCTTCAGCAAAAGTGAACACAGCTTAAATAGATTTTTAAGAATTAGACACATAGGTTCAATCCTGTATACTGAGAAAATTTGACGTGACATGGATGTCAATTGCGAAACTTTCTATGTGCCACTTTCTTAGTTACGTAAAAGCCCGACTTTACCCCAATTCAACCGAGATGATGAACGGTTTTGAGTTGACTTTGAAACACCTCGTTTATTGTATGTATTCACGTAATTTTATTATATCGTTAATTACCCTGGGTATACATTGAATACGAGTCAGTTTTCGCAGAGCGTTGCAGGCGGGAATGCCCCGAAGTGCTAGGAAAAAATTAGTTTTGACACCCTGTATCTTAAATAGAAAACATTTCTGAATTTTGTGTCCATTTGATCGGCAACATGAACTATCACCAAAGAATAGTTATGTGACGAGACGACAGTTATACAGGGTGGCGCAGAGGAAACGCACGATTTTCACCTAAGCATAACATTTTTTATTTTCAAGATAACTTTGTTTCAGTTACAGCTAAATAAAGTAATGATAGTGCACTTTTAAACTAATGATGGTAAATAACGTCACTCAAGTGTCGCCCTGCTTCGCGCTCGCACATCTCCAACCGCTCTTGAAAGTTGTGCATTACACGTAAAATCATTTCTTGTGGTATTCTTGCAATTTCTTGACGAATAGCAATTTTCAGTTCCTGTAACGTACGAGGCTTGTGAGGGTACACTTTATCCTTAAGGTAACCCCACAAAAAGAAGTCGCATGCGGACAAATCTGGGGAGCGTGGGCGCCAAGGGACATCGCCGAAACGGGAAATCACATGTTCAGGAAACATCTGTCGAATCCATTCCATTGATGCTCTCGCTGTGTGAGCTGTGGCACCGTCTTGTTGGAACCACAGCTCTCCCATGTTTACTTGTTGCCGTTGAAGTTCGGGTAACAGAAAATTTTGTAACATGTGAACATAACGTGCTGAAGTAACTGTTACTGCTCTTTCTTCCTCTTCAACAAAGTAAGGACCAACGATACCTAATTTACTGATTCCGCACCACACAGTTAGTTTTTGACTATGCAAGGGTCGTTGGTGTAGCTCTCGTGGATTTTCGGCCGCCCAATACCTACAGTTCTGCTTGTTTACATATCCTGTTAAATGGAAGTGTGCTTCGTCACTCATCATTATGACGACGTCAGGATCGTCAGCAAAAATGGCCCGCATTCTCGCACAAAATTCTCTACGCTGTGCAAAATCGCTTTCCGTTAGCTCTTGCACGATCATTATCTTGTACGGATGATATTGTAAATCGTCATGCAGAATGCGTTGTAACGACCGACGGTCGACGGTACATACGCAGAGTTGGAGCTTGGCGCCTAGTGGACCGTTGGGGACTATCAAAGACCGCTCTGTTTCGATATTGCCTGGAGTCCGCACGGTACGGGGAAGGCCAGGTGGCTTCCTCTTCATTACGGATCCAGTACTTCGAAATGCTTCAACCCATCGGAGTATTGTGTTTCGATCTGGAATTGGCCCGTGGCGTTCAACATTGAACTGTCGACGGAATAAACGTTGCACGATCACTACAGAATCATCGTTTCGAAAAAATTGCTCGACGGCAAACACACGATGCTCCGTCATCCACGGTGCCATGGCTGAAACTGCATCGCTTGTGTTCTCTGCTGGCGGTGCGGCGAGGTCATATCCCTACTCTGTGCAAAATACCATTCGGTCAGAAAACATGCGTTTCCTCTGCGCCACCCTGTACAAGCCGAATTAAATTAGAGATACATAAGAGATGACTCCAAAAACATGGCGTTAACGAAACGGTTGATCGCATCTAAACACGGAAATAAATGCCTTGTTGCCAGATAGATAATCCTTTTTAGATGCATACATTGACCATCACTTGTACCGAACGCATTTTCTGTTCAAATTTACTTTTTATTGGACGTTTATTCATGGTGGAGATATTTATGGTCAATTTGTAACCTACGAAATGAGTTTTTTACTCAATGAAGTTACAAAATACACTTAGAAGCTATTCTCAAAACGTGTAAGTTATCGCATAATTATACTAAGTGACATATAAATCCGAACACCCAGTTTAAATGGTTTTATTTTAATAAAAGTTGGTGAATGTATTTATCTTACTGTAAATAACAAGTGAAAAAATTTTCAGCCTTATCAGTTGGACATTCCGGTTTTTATACTGCTTTTTTTTAATTCACTAACGCTCTAAAAATGAATATTTCAGCCGCAGTAAAGAATCAACGTTGGCGGATGTTGGTTCTTGACATCCTTTACGATCGGTTACGATGCCTAGAGTACGGAGACCTGTACGATTTCGTCAACTTAGTGAGTTTGATAGGGGCCGTATAGTGGGACTTCGGGAAGCTGGACTTTCTTTTCGGGCAATTGCAGTTAGAGTGCAAACAAGTGTAGACACTGTGGTTAGGTGTTGTCAGGCATGGCTTCGAGAAGGCCGTACGCAAAGAGCAAGTGGCACTGGACGCCGCCGTAGAACAACAGACCGTGAAGATCGCCGCCAAAGATTACTGGCCTTAAGGGACCGTTTCTCCACTACCAGGTCTATTGCAAATGAATGGTTTGCAGAACACGGAAGACCTATTGGCATGCGAAGTGTTTACCGACGAATGAGAAGTTTTCGCTTGTTTTCATACCGGCCACTCTGGGTCCTCCCTTTAACTCGAGAACACCGACGTAATCGCCTTGAGTGGTGCAGACAACGGTCACTCTGGGATCAGGAATGGAACAGTATTGTCTTTAGTGACGAGTCTCGATTTTGTTTAGGCATGCACGATGGTCGTGCCAGGGTTAGAAGGCGACGTGGTGAAAGGAGGAGTCCACAGTTTTTTGTTGAAAGACATGTTCATCACACTGTTGGAGTTATGGTTTGGGGTGCTATAGCTTATGGTTCCAGGTCAGCTTTAATCTTCATCAGAGGTAACATGAACGCGCAGCGTTATATCCACGAAGTTCTAGAACCCCATCTTTTACCCTATCTCAACAGCTGTCAATGTTTGCGAGAGTTACGGTTTACTATATAATGATAAAGCTCCATTTTCGGTATTGTTCATCTTTATTGTATACTGAATTCAATCGATTTATCTTGCCATAAACAACAAGCGATGAAGTGGTCAGGTTTTGTTGTGGCTGCCTGTATTATTTGGTGATAAAGAAGCATTCAGTTTTCATACATTTACGGTGTCAGTTAAATGTTATATTTCGTGTGATAAGCCTTTTTGTGATTGCAAAAGATCATTGATGGGCACATTGTATACTTCATTAATAATACACCATTGAATACGCGTATACAATGATGAATATATACGTCTCCATATTCACGGATACAATGTACACAATGTATACAATAGCAAATCATAGTCCAACTACTTGCACACAGTGCGTGACACACCACGTTGCCTGGGACAACAGTGATGAAGGCCACAGAACACGACTGTGACTTGCTGCGATGCCTTGTTTTCTTCGCCCAAATACACATTTCTGTTGAATCTGTTTAGGATCAATTCCAGATCGATTCTATCTCCAATCTTAGGTGGAGCTGAAAGTTCAGGATCCTTACAAATTCTGCAGTATTGCATTATTGGTTTGACTGTGAAAGCAGTTCATTAATAATGACAAAGGGTATAAATATATAATATCTATTTATACAGGATGTAAACGTTGTGGTAGCCATTATTGAACTGGGTAATAGGGGGGGGGGTCAAAGTAAGTCAAAAAGTTCATACGACCCATGGTCCAAAAGTCAATAGATTTTTGTCTAAATGGTTTTATAGTTTACAACTTTAAGTGCATTATATCGACCACAATCACCACAATCTTACTAATTTTTATAATCTAATCTAAAACGTTTTTTAAATTGAGTAATCAACAAATAAATGGCATTAAGTTTTTCTAAGTTAAGCCAAAATTTGTACTCGGTAAGTAAGTTTCATTAAATTTAATATTTAAAACACACATGACAACAGCGCGTCGGTCTTTCGTCACTCTTATCGAACCGGCAATCGATCGCAAACGGTAACAGTGGTTAGTTATCGTTTTGCATAGAGTGTTGTTTTGTTTTTGTTCGCGTACGTCGTCATGTTTATTTACAATGTTCTCGAACCAAGAGTTCGCCGACATGTTGTTGGTTTGTGGTGAAGCTCGTCAGAATTCAAATCTTGCAGCTCAAATTTATAGATAGATTTCGGCAACGGGTACACCCAGACATACGGACATTTGTGCAAGTGTACCAAAGATACAGGAAGTATTCAGCCCACTAATATTCGCACTCGTGAAAGACAGGTTACTGTAGAACAGGAGGAACAAATTTTAAATATCGTGGAAATCAATGCAGATATCAGCACTCGGGAATTAGGCCGCCGCATAGTACTATCGCATACCATAGTCCATAGAAACCTACGGGAAGATTTGCTTTATCACTACCGTGTTCAACGAGTGCAGGCCTTGTCACCAGAAGACAATCCTCGCAGACTAACATTCTGTCAGTGGTTTTTGCACAAAAACATTGAAAATCAGGATTTTTTTAATAACATTCTAGCGACGGACGAATGTAGTCTTACGCGAGACGGGATATTAAATTTCCATAATACTCACACGAGGGCCCAAGAAAATCCTCATACCATTCCTGAAGGTAAGTTCCAACAACGTTTTAAAATATACTAAGTGACATATAAATCCGAACACCCAGTTTAAATGGTTTTATTTTAATAAAAGTTGGTGAATGTATTTATCTTACTGTAAATAACAAGTGAAAAAATTTTCAGCCTTATCAGTTGGACATTCCGGTTTTTATACTGCTTTTCTTTAATTCACTAACGCTCTAAAAATGAATATTTCAGCCGCAGTAAAGAATCAACGTTGGCGGATTTTGGTTCTTGACATCCTTTACGATCGGTTACGATGCGTAGAGTACGGAGACCTGTACGATTTCGTCAACTTAGTGAGTTTGATAGGGGCCGTATAGTGGGACTTCGGGAAGCTGGACTT